CAAAAAAGGTGCGGCAGAATGTGACATAGATGTTTGCTTTAATGCAGTTTGTTATGTGGGTTTCAGTGGGAATACAGTTTATGGGGGAGGCAATTTGGGATTATGTTAATGAACTTGATGCATGGTTGGACTTTGTTGGGAAAATCTTTTTTGTTGAGGAAATTTTGAGTTGGTTTAAACAGTGAACCGAATTTGTGCCGAATGGACTGTCTGCACAAAGGCAAGTAGAAAAGAGAACAAAGGACCGGTCTGAGGTCACAGAGAGAGTTTAGGAAGATAGTGAGGACAAGGCAGTTAACACTCAGGCAAGGACCCCGGTAGTGATCACCGTGAAGATTAGGAGATTTGAGTTTTATTTCCAAGAAAGAATCAGGACTAGCGCTTGTGTTATTGTGAGTTATGCAGCCTCCTGTCACCTAGAATATTTCTTTAGAACTAGAAAATGTTCTCAAGACATTTTGGGAATGATGAAGACTCTACTGGTCACCAAGCCACTGCAGTTTTTGTGTGTATGTAGGCATTTCAGTTAATCTGTATTCTGTTCTTCATAAGTTGTGCATTTCTTGAGCACAACAGAATTTGCTTGTTTTGTTGTGTTCAGTTCTTGATCTGTATAGATTTTCACTTATTTATTAAAAAACCGATTGATAAAAGTTTTAAATGTCATAGAACAAAAGTCATATTCATATAATAGAATTAACAGTGCCATGAGTTTCTTGATAATGCTGATATAACATCAGCTATCTTACAGAGGGGTAGTTGCCATTTCTTATAACATTCACCATATAGTGATATGCCCCCTGTATAATCATGGAACTGCCCCTTTTAAGTACAGTGGTTCTGAAATCTACTGATCATCAAAATTATTTGAGGATCTTAACAAGAAAATAGTATGGAGGGGTCTTGGGTCTAATCTAGTGTAAACTCATGGACTATAGGAACCAAAAACGATCCTGGTTATCAGAATCCAATCTTTTCATTTTACAGCTGAAACTAACAGTGATGTGCAGAACTGGATTAGATTTCAAGTCATCATAGTCTCAGTGTAGTGCTCTGGCCATTTCCTTATGCTTCTGAATTTGGCTTTTCTCTGAGGACACATTGGTGAGCAGAAACTATTGTGGTTTTCACTTATGGACAGTTTATTTGGAAGACAGACAGTAATGAAAGGTGTCTCTCAGAGAAATACTATAAAGAAGGTGCTTGTCATGATATATGAGACATGTTATATGACATACTGCATGAACTTCTTCCTGTGCATTGGTTTCTTTGTAAGTAGTACCCACCTGATAGGGCTAGTTGGAAAATACTGGCTGAGTTAACACATGTGAAGTGTTCTGCCCTGTCCTGCAGGTGCTCAACAAGTGCTTAGTAAGTGTTGGCCACTGTCTTGCCATTTGCAGCTCGGACTGCCTAGTGTGGCTGGAGTATACTCCAGGACACACTGGAGTAGATTCATATTTGGGGGAAGAGAATGCGAGTTTTGACTTGAACTGTGAAGTGTTAGTGCTTTTAAGATACCCAAATGGAGATATCATATCCTCAGTTGTGGAGACTGGTGGGGTGCAACTCCAGATGCAGCAGAGGAGCCTCCACCGGAGATGAAAATTGGGGGCGTGTTCAGCATCTTGTCTGGAGTCGCCTTGAGATATGTCATGTCACCAGGAGAGAGACTGCACATGTTTATATACATCTAATGGAGGGACTGCACCAAGATCTGGGTCTTGAGGCTCTCCATTTAATTGGTGTGCTTTTTAAATTTCTCTTGTTTAGCGTATGATTTGCCTATACATCCAAGAAGAAAGAAAGGTAAGTAACTAGGGAGTCATTTGAAGAGGTGGAAGGAGGTACATGTGTTCCAGTTCTTAGTGGATGACCATCAGTGGACTCCAACTTTGACTTTGTTTCTATGCAACAGGAGTGTTTAGCAACATGGGGGGTTTTATTATCTGACACCCCCCCCCAAAAAAAAAAAGCATATCTCATCTGTGGAGATAAATTCATTTGGCATGGAGCTCAATTTCTTAAATTTTAAGGAGAAATATTTTAATGTTATTTGTATAAATTAACAGCACCTACAGTGGGGTTTATTTAAAAGCAGAAGAAAATAGGGGTTTTTGCAAAAGACTTATTGATGCTATTCTCATGGGCACTTCTTATATTTATCCTTAGGAGTAACACATGTAGCTGTCTTTCCCATCAGGCTCTTACATTAATTTGACTAGGAGTTAGAAGAATTGTCCAGATGATTTTACCTAAAAATACACATAGGTTCTTTCTCAAGGCCTTTCTCTTATATTTCTGTATCCATCCTTAAAATAATGAAAGACAGAGTAATCTGCACACTCTACCTATTTTTAATTTATAAACTACTTTAAAAATTAGGGCTTGTTTTCTGAAAGATTTTTTTAAAAGATTTATTTATTTGTGCATACAGACCTGGGGTACAGGCCAGAGGTGCAGGGGTGGTGAGAGGATTCACCAGAGACAGAGTAGGGAGCAGAATAGGTAGATTGACGAAGTACACTGCTGAGGGGAGCAGCAGGTGGGTCAGGCACCATTTGGCTCAGCTCCGTGTTGGCGGGGATCGAACTCATGCTGAAGTGGCTTTAGCTTCTTAGTGCTGTGCTTTAACCCACTGTGCCAGGGAGGGCCTGTTTTCTGAAAGACTTTTAACTTAAAAATATTTAAATATTTTTCTTGGCCTTTATTTTTCTGTAATCAAACTTCGATTGACTCAGAGTCTTGTTCTAATTATATTTTATTCATAAAACAAGCATTTATTTAGTTCCTGCTGCTGGCTGGAATTATAAATGCTAGATTTTAGGCCTTGAGATTCCAACCATTCAGGTTTCTCAGTCAGATGGAGAAAAAAATGCGTTGTGAAAAATAAGGAAGGATGGTGTGAACAGAGCATGACAGTGCGATTTATATGGTAGCAAGTAAACAGGGCATGTCTTTGGGATGTAGGACAGGTTGGGACAGTAGCTAAATCTAATCTCATCAACTCAGGAAGGAGATTGAATGGGAAGGAGATGTGGTACATTGTTCCTTCCTTCCGGCAGCTTTACAAGGAGACTTGTAGTATTCCACTTTATAGATGAGGAAACTAGTAAGGAGGAGAGAGGCAGGGCTTCAGTGGTGGTGATCACCATCCACATTTTGTGCTCTTTCCTCTGTAATTGCCAGGTCTCCTAATCTCTAATGTTTAAAAAAAATGCTGTTCTGATTGGAGGACTCATCATTCCTTCGAGGAGGTGGGATGATTTTAGCTGCTGTTTGCAAATGGTGATACTGAATGAAAGGAAAGGAGAAATGGAGCACAGATCCTGCCATCTAGCCAAATCACTGACCCTGGCACCTCCTGGGCCTGGAACTAAACATAGGATGGAGGCACAAGGTTGCTGTGGATCTGTTTTCAAAAAGGAGAGCTCAGACGGATGGTGCAGAGCACAATAGAAAGAACATGACTTAAACGCATTAACATTTGAGCTCCCTCTGCCAGCCCTTTGACCTTGGGTAAATTACCGACCACACCAGTGTGACGACCTTTTTTATAAGTGTGGGCTTGAGAATTAAGTAATATAATGCTTGGGAAGTGTTTAGCACAGTACTAAGCATAGAAGCAACTTTTCCTGTTTCTCCAAACATTAAGGTCTAAAGAGGGCTCAGTTAAAAAATAGAGAACTCTTAAAATAATTTTCCTAGTTATTTCTGGATACTAGTTTTGTTTATAGAATTATCATGACATTATTTCATTTGAATCTGATGAAAGCTCAGTGAAATAAATTGGGCAGATTAAAAAAATGGGGTTCCTTTTATTGCTTAAAATTGTTTGAAAAACTGTCAGATGAGAAAGATTTTCTCTAATTCTAAGTGGCATGATAGTGACACCCACTGTAAAAGCTCATATTATTATAGTCTTTGAAGAAACTGCAGTTTATGTAATTTAATACCATCATCAGGAAGAACTTAATTGATTTCACTACCTACTATTTTTGAGGGAGAGGAGATTAAAAAATATATCATCACATATACTTTGTTTAGCAGAAGTAATAATTACAACAAAACCTCAATTTTCTGAAAGCTATGATCACTTGAAAGATCTCAAATTATCAAAAGCGGTTTAAAGATGTTCTGTATTCTCTAATCAGCTGAACAATTTAAATGTCAAGGTCCTATGATTGGTAATTGGGCTTCAGAAAAAACTAGGTTTGATACGTGCAATGACATTCGATGGAGGAAACCAGAGCTGGGGAGCAGCCAAGGCTCAGGTGGCCAGAGGACCGTGGCAAGGTAGCAAGTGTGGAACAGCTTTGGTGAGGTCACTCAGGTGCAGTGGAGAATGACAGCATATATGTTGGGGTGCGGGAAAAAGATTGTACAAGAGGGCTGGATGTGTCTTCATGGAAATCTTTAGAGCGGGAGATCCACCGCCCTTCTCACTCAGATTCAAGAGTGACAACCCAGTATCCTTTCCCACCTTACATTTTGAAATACAAAGCAAATCAGTATTGATTTGGCAATGTTCAAAGGCAGGAATATGAGATCCACTTTGGTTGACTGTATATTAGAATTGACCGTGACCTTGACTAATATTATAGGACTTGCTAAATCAGATATAATTACTGTTCAAATGTATTGATTCAATTAATTATTTCTCAGAGTTAAGCTTTATACTTAATTTTTATTTCTTATTTTGGTTTTAGATTTTAAAAGTTGAAGGTAGACCTGTATGTGACTCTGTCTTCTTTTGTGGAATAAAAGTGTTGGTGACTGGTGTTTTAGATATTCTCATTTGTTGACTAATTCATGCTTTAGGATGTTTTGCACTTAAAAAATTAGATATTTCAAGATATTTCTTTGTCACAATGCAAGTTTTTTCTAATATAAGTTATCTTTTACTATTTTGTATGATTTTACTTGGAGGTACTAAAATTGATTTTGCATGGAATCATCTGCCAATGTTGGATTCATTTTTACTTTGTTTTACATTTCAGAGATACTCTGATTTTAGAAGAAATACGTGGTGACAAACATGACTGAGTTCTGGCTTATATCAGCTCCTGGGGAAAAAACTTGCCAACAAACATGGGAGAAATTGCATGCAGCAACTACAAAGAACAATACTCTTGCTACTACTTCAAAGTTCAACATTCCTGACTTGAAGGTAAAATTGTTCTATGCAAAAATGGTGGATGAGTTCCCCATATAAGGGAGGACAATGCTCTCTGCCTGTGTTTTGGAAGCAAAGAGCTATCCAGGGTCCTCAAAAGAAAATTCTCTCACTGACGTAATTTAAAAACTACTTTGTTCTTTCTAATCTTCAGATTTTAGGTAATGAGGAAACATTCAGAAGTAAACTGTCAAAATGAAGTAACATTTCCCAAGACTGTTTTGTGCTTTTCTGAAAACTAAATATAATGAAAAAGTTTGTGAAGATATTTCATATATTACATTTATAAGCATGATTTTCAGAAGTGAAAAATGTTAGTACATTATATTCCTAGATATTTTATTTGTGCTTTTTTTTTTTTTAAGATTTATTTTTGCATAGAAGAACTGGGGTTTAGGCTGTAGGTGTGTGTGTGTACGTAGCCGGGGGGGGGGGGGGTGGGGGGTAGGAGGCTAGCAGGATTCACCAGAGGAGTAGAAGAGGCAGATCTAACATGCGCTGTTAAGGGGAGACAGGAGAGGACTGCTGCACCATATGTGTGTGTTCCCCTGGCCTGGTATCGAACTCAGGCCTTTGTGGTAGACCACTGCAGTGAAGGTGCTGAGACTTAGAACCTGTAGGCCGTTAGGGAAGCCCTGATTCTTACTGTGCTTGCTAATGTCGTCCCACTAGCACCTCTTTAATTAGACTTGATAAATATAACCTAGTTAGTTATTTAATGTAGTTAATCTGTAAAGTACTTATTATAGAGCAGTAACCTAGCCGCCTTTCAAAGTGAAGCAGACTCCTAGTAATCGGTTGATAGAACTTACGTAAAGAATGGAAAAGATTGTATTTATTATTTGCTTGTTAGCTAAATGAGGCAGTTACAGACAGCACTCATTTTAGAAATACTTTAAATTATTCTTCCTGTTTTGGAAAATTATGAAATCCTTTGAGATACTAATACAGACTGTACATTTCTTGCAAAACATTCTCATTTACACAATACAGTTTTGCATGCAAATTCAGTTACAAGCTCTCTACAAGTTCCCAGCTAGGAAACTCTGCCTGAGAGCTACTGTTTCCAAAATGCCAGCAATAATATAAGCCAATATTACATCAATAAAAAAGAGAAAAAAAAGGGCCAGTGTTATAAACCAGAACTTCAGATTACCCACCGTCACTGGCCAGTGCAAGCTGAAGCATGTACTTGCCTTTGAAGAATCTTCACATCGTTAATGGCAATTGTTCTCGTGAATTAGAGGATTATCTTGTACAAATAAATGACTTCAAAATGCCTGACAAATGTTTTTTAACTACACTTGCACATTGAGATAAAATACAGGTAACTTAATATTTGTGGCTCTTCAAAGTATATCATTATGTTAAAAAAACAGTGAAAACAAAGTAATAAAATGCTATATTTTCCTTTTAGGTTGGCACACTGGATGTCTTGGTTGGCTTGTCAGATGAACTGGCTAAACTGGATGCATTTGTAGAAGGGTAATGTACTTACTGCATAGACGGAGTAAGATGAGAGTCCTCTAATCAGGCTGCCTGCATATGATCACATGTTTATTATCACATGTATTCTGTGCTTATTGGGACAGTTTAGAAAGTGATGACCACTTTTTTTTCTTTGTAAATCAATTTTATGAAAATATAGTTTGCATACACTATAATCTACCTGTTTGAAGTTTGATAATAGGATTCTCTTTTTAATATTTTTGAAGTATATTTCACATATTTTGCAGTTTACCTATTTGAAGTGTACAATATAGTGATTTTTAAAAATATTTCCAGAGTTGTATATTTGTCACTGCAGTGTTAATCCACTTTCATTTGCTCTCACTACAGTTATCCTCAGCCCCCAGCTACCTACTAATTCGCATTCTAACCATATACATGAACATATTCTGGGCTATAAGTAGAATCCTACAGTATGTGATCTTCTGTGATTGACTTCTTTTGCTTAACATAATGTTTTCAAGTTTCATCAAGTTATAACATGTATCAATATTTAATTTCTTTTTATTACCAAATAATATTCTGTTGTGTGAATATATAGTACATTTTATTAATCCACTTCTCCGTTTATGGAAATGTTGGTGTTTCTACTTTTTTGGTGCCATGAACATTTGGGTACCAAGTTTTGTGTATTCATATGTTTTCATTCTCTTTTGTGTGTTCCATTATAGTCATTGCTAATGGAAACACAATGATTGGGAAGGGTGATAGGTGGTGGAATTGCTTGGTCACATGGTACTAACTATATTTTTTATCATTTTGAGGCTGTTTTCCAAAGTGGCCATTCATTTTACATTATCACCAGCAGTATATGAAGGTCTTAAAATTTCTCCACATCTTTGTCAGCACCTGTTTCTAGCAACCTTTTTAATTATAGTCATCATAGTGGATATGAAGTACTATTTCATGGTTTTGATTTATGTTTTCCTTCTGGCTAATGATATGTTGAGCACCATCTTTTTTGTCTTTCTTAACCATTTGTGTTTACTCTTTAGAGAAATGTCTTTTAGAACCCTTTACACATTTAAAAATTGCTTTATTTGTACTCTTATTATTGCATTGAAGAGTTCTTTAAGTACAATTGCCTTATCAGATATGACTGATAAATAATTTCTCCCATTCTGTGGGTTGTCTTCACTCACTTGATAGTCTCCTTTGAAGGGCAAAAGTTTTTAATTTTAATGAAGTCCTATGAATACTTTTTGTTGCTTGCATTTTTAGTGTTACAGCTAAGAAACCATTACAAGGCTATGCATACAGTTTTATGCCACCTGTTTTCTTGCTTTTTTTTTTTTTTAAAGATTTATTTATGCTTACAGAACTGGGGTACCCAGTTCTGTACATGATACATGAACATGGGATATTATTCCATTTACTTATAATAGTGATTTTGTCTTCAAAATTGTTACACTGGAAAAGTTTTTCTAAACTATACAAACAAAAGTTTTGTCACTTTTGAAACTTACTAGATTTATATTTTAGCTGAAAGTAAAGAATCATTGTTAACTTTTTAATTGACTCAGAATATATAGAGCTTAGATTAATAGGTATAGTTTATAAAATACAGAATTTCAGAAAGTATGTTTGAAGCTTTAACACATCAAGCTTGAATAGAGGGTAACTTATTTTTGAAATCTGTATAGTTTTTCTTATGTTGTCATGCTTTTCTGAATTGATAGAATTATGAAGCAGTGGCTTTCACAATAGAAATTGATGTAAAGGAGGCTGAAGAGTGACAACATGTAGTAAGGAAATCGTTCTTTAATATTGGAGGTGAGAAGGCCAATTAAGAGACAGCTCTTCTGTAGATTGAGTAAGAGATATTCAAAGTATCAACTGATGCCAAGCACTTGGCATTAAAAATGGAAAAGAGGATGCAAGAAAAAGTAACAGATTACTTTCAGGGTTAATAGTTATTCATGTAGACTACATTTAAAAACGAATTTTGATGATATTCTCAGAGGACTAATTGATGGTAAGAACTGTGCTTACAAAATTTTAATTAAGAGAAAATTTTGAGAAACCTTGTAGTTGCTATTCCTGAGGAGATTGTCTTCCCTGTAGGGGGGAATAAATATAATTTCTGTCATCATAATTTGAGGTGCTGATGCCAAAAAAACGTGCAAAGGGAAGTATCCTGAGAATTGTTTACTGACACTTATTTGTGCCTTTTATTAATCACTCCAATGGACTTTATAGGTCTTTCTCGGAATTGGGATTTCCTGAATATAGTTTAAGTTCTGCTCTCAGAAGGAATCTGAAAATATTTAACAAGTTTAATCTGGTCAGTAGAGTTGAAAGTTGCCAGTGATGTTTGTCAGCTATTCTTTTCTGCTTTGCAATTTTTTTCTCATCAGCCTTCTTGTAAGATAGGAGAAATTTAAAAATGATGTGGTGGTTAAACCTTTGTAGAGTTGACAGATGTAGTTAATGACTCACACTCCATCTTTTAATTTATGAACATGTATAGTGTAGTCTTAATTGTTCAGTGATTGTTTAGTTTATGCTGTTTTCAGTAACTTAATCACTAGAGCAGGGTTTTTTGTTTTTTTTTAAGTTAGGTGACTATGTGTACTTTGACATAAATAGTGGAGATATACAGGGAGAACATGAGATTCTGAGGTACATAATGTTAAGTTTATAAACTTGAGTGATTGTAACATGCTGAATGATTTCTATGATACATATGTGAACACTTTTGAATATTCATAGTAAATGTGTGTTTACAAGATACTTATCAAATTATATAGGAATAATGGTTTGTCTCCTTTGAAGGAGTTGGGTGAATTTTGAAGGCACAGTGTATGTATGAACACCAAGTTAAATATGTTGAAGGTTTATGGCTTATATAATTTTCTTCCTGCAAATTTTCTACTTTTCCACGTCTAAGGTCACCCAGCATAGGATCATTACTCAAATTGAGCCCTTTTGGTTCATGTTCTGACCCCGTTGGTTCATGTTCCAGGAGTTTTTTTATTTGTCTTCCAATTGCCTCTGCTGTTAAGCATCTGAGTAATTGTCCTGAGTCCTGTTTCAACCATGTCACTTGGGAGTCCCTAAACCATGTCACTTGGGGGGGTCCATAAAGTCTGACCCCCCCCAAGACAGTCCATTCGCAGTCTGGTACTGGTCTCCATTCCTAGCCTGATCTCCCCCTCCAGGATGATATTCCTATGTATCAGTTGCTTTTCCAGCACTCCGTGACCTTGATGTCCCATGGCAAGAAAAGATTTTCTTTTCAAGTAACCCTTTAAAAACCATTTCTATGCTTCATTAGCCTGATCAAATGCTAATGCTGTACAGTTTTAAGGGGACTACATGCAGTATGTTTGTTAGTCTAGAAAGTGTGGGAAGCTAATGACAGTCTAGCAACAGCAGTCCACCATATGCTGAGAAAATGGGCGACAAATCTCACTGCAAAGACCAAGAACAAAGGAGAGGCACAGAGGCAGTCGGCACTAGCTCCTGCTCTATGCCTGCACTTAGGGTCGAAGGGACACAACAGGATACAAGCAACAGTAGTTTCTCGATGATAGTAGCTGGAAATGATGCCTTTTTGTTTTATGCTTCTCTGGTAATCTCAGTTGGCAAGTACTGCAAGTTGATTTGTATTTAGTCATTTGTATGTTTGTTGTCTCTCTAGTTGACTCTAAGCAATGTGCAGCTAGTGGTTTTTGTCCTCTATTCTTTTATTCTCCACCCCGTGTCTGGAACCGGACACTGGACTCCAGCTCCTAGGGACCACCTTCCTACCCACAGCTCCACCATTAACTGGGTTTCTTGCTTTGGAGCAATCATTTGTTCTCTTTGCACCTTGGTGTCTTGTGAAAAGGTGGGATGACAAGGTGATGTTTAGGTGCCTCCAGTAGCTTGAGCACTGTGGCTTCCTCTTCCATCGCTCCTTCAGGTAGTAAATAGTGACTAAATCACAGCGGCACTTGTTCTTCACCACTACTGTTGCTTGTATCCTGTCGTGTCCCTTCGACCCTAAGTGCAGGCATAGAGCAGGCACTAGTGCCGACTGCCTCTGTGCCTCTCCTTTGTTCTTGGTCTTTGCAGTGAGATTCGTCGCCCATTTTCTCAGCATATGGTGGACTGCTGTTGCTAGACTGTCGCTAGCTTCCCACACTTTCTAGACAAACAAACATACTGCATGTAGTCCCCTTAAAACGGTACAGTTACTCAGTTAAATTTTGCGTGTATCAAAATCTCGGTCCATTTGTCCTTAAAATATTGTTTATAGAGGGTAGGACACATTTGTTCTACATTGCATAGGTATGTGTAATGGGAACAAACATGTAGTCAAATTCTTTCACTTAGAGCGTGGACTTTAGATCCATTCCTGAAAATGATTGATTTTTTTTTTTCTCTTCAGGGTGGTTAAGAAAGTGGCTCAATATATGGCTGACGTCTTAGAGGATAGTAAAGATAAAGTTCAGGAGAATCTGTTGGCCAATGGAGGTAAGCTAAACTTTCATTATTTGATACTAACTTACAGAAAGTCAATGACTTAGATGCAAAAAAACAAAAAAGATGTGGGAAAAAAATCTGTAGCAAAGGATATTAAGTATTATCTAGAAAGTAGCAATTATTCCTGAATTGGTAATAGCCTGTCCCCTGAAATACAACCTCTCATAAAATAATCTCATATAAAATACTACCAGTTTATATATGATTGCTATGGCTTTCCAGAAGCAATATTACCTTAGTTCTTTCTGGGATCTGTTTGTAAGTGTGTTTCCAAATTTTATTTCTCAGCATTGTTTCAGTTGAATACTTGTTCTCTTGTCTAGCTTTTCAACTGCTAATGCCTTCAAGTAGAAATTACTAACTTTATTGTGGAGTTAAGCCCCTTTCAGTTTTGAATGATAGTGACTTTCTCTAATTTTATTTCTTTTCTTTGCAAATAATAGATCCTTAGTCAATATTAAAATCAATAAAAAATTAACAGTTTATACTTGTTTTTTATTATAGTAGATCCATATCTGTTTATTGTTTATTTGTTTATTGTTAATTTGCATTTGGGGCAGAAGGACAGGGCGGAAGTTGGACATGTTAACTTAAGGTGCCTTTAATGTTTGATGCACCATAGGAGGAAGGAAGATTGGCAGGCAAGGCGTATGCATTTAAAGTAGATTTTGGAACACCTTCTGTGTTCTTGAACCAGGGATGTTATGGAAAGAGGCATTAAGAAGAGAAAGAGATTTTGATCTGAATTACTGTGCTGTCATTGGTTTCCCTGATCTTGAGTTCATCATACATGAGAAGTAAAGTTGTCTTTTTACTAAACTTCCAGGGAATTTGTTGAAAGTCTCTTTGGCTTTATTTATTTATTTTTTCTTTTCGTTCGAAAGTGAAAGGGTCCTGTTTTGAAGATCGCTGAAGTGTAGGCAGCTAGTAACAATCAACACATGGTTTTAATGGATGAGTTCATTTTTAGTTTGTTTGGGTAACTTGACAAGGAACATACTTGTGTTAAGCTCTACTTATTGAGGCAGTTTGAAGGTGTTTTTAAGGTTTTTATCTTTTTTCTACATCTGAGCTTTATCATTGTTATGTACATATACCATTGAGCATTTAATATATAAAATTTTGAGTAAAAAGAGGTTTAATTAGACTAAGGAAATTGCTTTTATTTACTTGTGGCACTTAATATAATTCCACATTTATTTAATAAGAACTCTTCAGAAATGACAATACCTTTCCTGATTTTCTTAATGTCAGTATCAACATTAAAATCAATTACTATGTAACAAACTCTTTAAAAAAAAGTCTGTTGCTTCTTTTCAGTAATTCATTTGTTCCCTTATTTCAGTTGACTTGGTTACTTATATAACAAGGTTCCAATGGGACATGGCTAAATATCCGATCAAGCAGTCCTTGAAAAATATTTCTGAAATAATTGCCAAGGTAAGATAAAAAATGACAGAATGGACACATTGATTGTAGTGACTTTGTTTTATAAGTATTTAGCAATGAAATACTTTTTAGGTTTCAACAAGGCAACTTAAAAACTGCAAGTTTTCACTCACCTGTCAGTTCTTCAGAACTAGCGTTCAGCTGATGGTGTATAATGAAATCACGTCCTTGAATAGCCTTCTGCAGTATCTTCCAGGAGTGTTTCTTTCTTGTCAGCTGTCAAAAAAGTGTTTCAAGGACTTGCTGTATGTAAATGGGGACCCATACTGCAGCTTGACTGAAGTGGTGTTAACAAGCATAATACTTTCATGTGTGGATAATCTGCATTATATAGTTTCTTATTTACATGGTTAACTTAAATGTGGCATCAACGTATTGTTTAAATAAGAAAAAATTAAATTTTAATTATAAATTGTAAGAATAACTGAGAGGAAATTGGAGTCTGGTGAAGATGGGTCCCTCAGGTGGATGGTCATCTGTATTGTAATACAGCAATGACTTAAACAATAAACTGTGGGTTTTCTGAATGCTTACGATGTTCAGTATTGATCTTCTGCCCAGAAAAATATGTATATTCATGTCCTACATGCTTTTATGTAGTTTCAGGGTGTAAACATCCTAGAACTCAGACATGAATTCACAAGGTTAAGAGCTCTTTTTCTATTTATTTGGTCCTTGAGCTTGAGAGAAAATGTTAGTCTTACCAGAAACTATAGTAAGGCAAATAGATGAGGATTTGTTGATTGTTTGCCAGCATTTTTCTGACTTAGGGCAAAAAGCATGGTTTAAATGAACTGAAGAGACTATCCTTGAGTTCTAGTGGCTTTAGTTGCACAGTACACTAAATATTTGTAAACGAGTAGATTAAACAGATACTGACTAAAGTCAGTATAATGTAAGGAAAATGCATTCTTTGATAATATAGACCTGTGGTCTGACTATAACCGAAACTTAGTTTCTTTGGAGATTATCAAGGTTCTCCTCTTTTTCTTAAGACTGTAAGAGCTGCAAACAGAGGCTCAGAAAGGTAAAGTGACTTAGCACAGCTAACTGTGGTACAGCCGTGTTAAAAGCTAGTTCTTCAGAAGTTAAACATTCTGCTTTGGGTTTTCTCCCTAAGTTATTAGTAGTATATCTTTTTGAAAAGTCATCTTTTGTAGCATTTGTGAATAAAATTCAATTACAGTTTTAATTTCATTAAGAAAATATTTTGTGTATTAATAATAGAGTTGTGAACAATAAAACTGTAAAACTTGAAAATAAATCCTTCAGCCTTATCAGTGAACGACTTTGTGATAAGTAAACCCAGTTTAGATCGAGATTATACATTGTGTAAGTGTCAATCAGTAAGATAATTAAAATGTATGTGAACTAACATTATCATCAGTAAAGATTCATATGGCCATTACCATGGTTATTAAGAACAAAGTAGGTTATTTTTTTATGATCTTTTAAAATTGTACTTTTAAAAATAATGGAATATTCTGACAACAGAATCTAGTTTTTGTTTTAATTTATGCTTAAGTAGTTATTTTAACTCATTAATAGAGGCAGATTTAGGGAAATTTTGCCTATTTTTCCTTTTCTTTCTTTTTTTTTAAAGGCTTATTTGTGCATACAGAACTGGGGTACAGGCCAGAGGCGCAGGGGTGGCTAGAGGCTTCACCATAGACAGAGTGGGAGCAGAACAGGCTGCTGACGAAGTACACTGCTGGAGAGCAGTGGGCAGGCCAGGAGAGGTCTGCCACGCCATGTGGTCACCTCCGGGGCAGGCGGGAATCGAACTCATGTGGAAGTGGCTTTAGCTTCTCAGTGTTGTGCTTTAACCTGCTGCGCCACCAGGGAGGGCCTTATTTTTCCTTTTCTTTTTTAAGGGAGTAACTCAGATTGACAATGACCTGAAATCTCGAGCATCTGCATATAATAACCTGAAAGGGAATCTTCAGAATTTGGAACGAAAGAATGCGTAAGTTATCTTTTCTGAAAATAGAGCACACTTGTTTTTGCTAATCACCTTGTAGTGTCGCTGCTGTGAGAATAGCTTTAAACACTCTACCATTCAAGTTATGTATTCACATCCAGAGGGAAAGTTGGTTGGATACTGTCCACCATGCAAATAGAGCAAGTCACGTTCATTATGAAAAGATCAATACTGGCAGACCAAGTAAAGACTGGTTTGTAGGCACTGATTATTGGGTTAAATAACCAAAATTGCCTGGTGTCAGATGATACCCAGGGAGAGAGGGGAAAGCCAAAGCCTTATGCTTAGATGATATAATTCCATAATTATGATGATACAGCTTTAATGCTACGTAATGAGAGACATGGTTTCCAAGTTAATATATGTGTAATCAACACAGGAGTTGAGTTACCATAATTAAATCAAACACAAAGAGGGGCACTAGAGGCAAGTTTTGATCAATGTTGACATTTCTTTGGTCACAGGGTTGGGAAATATTTAGCTAAATTATGACTTCTTATGAATTAAAAATATGAACTAAGATCAGTGCCTCTATAGAAATAATAAATGCACGTGAATATAGTTGGCTTGCTATTTTTAAAATTTGTGTTATAAAAGCACATAGTTATCAGCCTAATGATTTCTTTCTTATCCTTCAGAGGAAGTTTGCTAACTAGAAGTCTAGCAGAAATTGTGAAGAAAGATGACTTCGTTCTTGATTCAGAGTATCTCGTCACATTACTGGTTGTAGTTCCCAAGTATGTCTTTTTATTATGAAAGGTTTTACTTGTTGAAGTAGGAGAAAAATGTTAGTATCTGACATTGTAATTTTAAGTTTTCATAAAGTGCAGTCTGAAGGGAATGTCACCTTGTCATTCACTCTGTAAGCCAACATGTACTCATGTGACACAGTAGAATGTGTTTTATAACCTGGAAATGGAGATGTTACTGCACATTCAGATTCCATATCACATTAAGCAGCTTATAGAGTTGGCTCAGTGTAAAATTAAGTAATGCTAAAGTCTTAATAGAGATTTTAGATTTTTCAAAATAGGATGCTATTTTGGTTTTCTGAAAAACTTTTATGACTGACTAGGATAAATTAAACCCTATAAAAGCAAAGGCTCAGCAAATTTTTCTCTGTTAAGGGCCAGTTAGTATTTTAGACTTTGCACATGATATGATTACAACTACTCAACTCTGCTATGTCGATTTTGTGTTTAGAACTGAAAGCAGCCATTCATTTCATATAAACAAATGAATATGGCTGTTTCAATAAAACTTTATGCACAAAAATATAGCTTACAGGATTAAATAACCCGTTAGAATCTCCTTTAGTCTTGTGTCAGTTAATGCTTGGTGATAGTTAATTTTGGTAAAATCAAAGCTTTGTACACTTGTAGGAAGACTAGAACTGTGTGTGTGTGTGTGTGAGAGAGAGAGAGAGAGAAAGGAGAAGACTGACTGACTGACTGACTGACTGACTGACTGACTGACTGACTGACTGACTGACTGACTGAAAGACTGTTAATGCTTTCATCTATGATTTGCCTGAAGTGTTACTATCAGGATATTTAGGGATCCAAACTGAGGCTAGGGTATTTGGGAACTCTTCAAAGTATAGTCTTTTTGTTCTTCATTTTTGTTTGGTTAGGAAATGGGAATATCGGAAACTGATGTCTCCTGAGAATGGCTGAAAGTACTTCCAAGGAATTTAGAGTGGCCACGATATTATCTGACTTTTGCTTTTCCCCCTTCTCTGAAGAGTACAGGCTTTTCAGTTTTCTTTGCACATATGAAGATGGGCTTAAAACTTAAGAGTTTGGCTCCAAAAATTTTGTTTTATGTTTTAGTTATGTAACCAATGCTTGTTATACTAGTACTCTAGTTAGAATAAATTTCTGTGTTTCTGTGACATGTTGGAAAATAATCTCTGCCACGGTAAAGAATTTGTCATATTCAACTTTTATTTTAAATTAGTGTTTAAAACCAGAAATATTCAGAGTTCTAGGGTAACTTACATAATGAATTATTCTCTATCCCAGTCCACAGATACTATAATATTTATTTCAAAGTACTCCCTACATCTCCAGAGCCACGTCTTTGGAAGCACAGCTTCCTAGCACTTCACCCAGCACTTCGTAATACTCTGTGCTGTCAGTAAAAATAGTGTCATTCAACCCTGTAGAACAACCACTGTGTAGAAAGGATGATGATTTCAGCTTGGTGTTTTATTTTTTTTTAAAAAATGAAGTGATGTGAATCAACCCTAAAGTTTGAAAGTAGTTTAAATCTGTGCTCACCTTCTCCAAGCTCTCTTGCAGTAGTTACTGGATATGAGAGCGGTGAGTTTCCTACTTCACTTAGTATATTTAAAATTCATGTTCCATACAAAATTTGCATTTTGTTTGTTAGACACATTTGAGGTGTGCTGTAGCCCGGTTTCATATTTGTCTCGGACTTTCCTTTCTGGATATGGCAGGAAGTAGGACTTGTTTTTCTTTTTCACTGCTTATTGTGCCTTTTTCTGCAGGTTAAACCACAACGATTGGATTAAACAGTATGAAACACTGGCTGAAATGGTAGTTCCAAGGTCTAGCAAGTAAGTAGTTGTCTTTGTAAAACCTGTCTTTCCTAGAGTTCCTTTTATAGTTTTGACAGTGGATTGGGAAATACCTTTGTTATCTTTCCTTTGTGGTTTTAGAACCATCTTCTTCACCTTATAAATTAGTGGGTTACTTCACCTCTAGTTATCATAACTTAGACCTGGAAGGGACTTTGCACAGTCTGGTTAACCTACTCATGTTTGTAGATATAGAAGTTGGAGGCCTCAGAGTCACACACCGCGTTAGTGGCAGGCCTAGCACTGAACCCAGGTCACTGGTATGGTACTTTTCCTGTTACACTGTGCTACCTTCAGAAAACTCTTTCTTCAGTATTTATTGCATATGTAGTATGTGTCTGTAATTCTTCTTTTATCTTGGGAAAAAAGTATACCAAAATGGCTGCTGGGGTACCATATGGATCTACAAATATTCACCATCACTTTCCAGAGATCACAGATTCTACCTGATCTGTCCTTGTCTTTAAGAAAACTCAACTTTTTGTTAAGAATTTTTAAAGTTATGGGTAAACATATATTGTCTGGTATTTACAACAATTCCATAAACTAGTTTTGCAGTTAACCATTCTTACTCTACTAGGTGAGAAAGTTAAAATGCAAAAGACTCGAACAGTTGCTAAGGCATATGGCTGTCTTTGTGTCCAGTGGCACATTTAAGGCTAGAACTCATGTCTCTCAACTCCAGGTGCTGTACTCTTTTAATGCTGTACCGTGCCTTTTTCGTTCTAGTCTGCTATTCCACACAAGATGTTCTGTGAGAAAGTATTAAATGCAGTGTATATATATCCCCAAAAGATACTGTATATCTGTGCCTTAAGAGGTGGCAGTGGGCCCTCGCTAGTGGCACAGTGGGTTATGATGCAACACTGCAAGCTGGTAGCAGCCGCTTCAGTGTGAGTTTGATCCCTGGCCCTGGAGGTGACCCACATGGCCCACCCACTACTCCCCTTAGCAGTGTACTTCATCTATCTACCTGTTCTGCTCCCCACTCTGTCTCTGGTGATCCTTTCTCCATCCTTGCACCTCTGGCCTGTACCCCACCTCTGTATGTATAAATAAATAAATCTTAAAAAAAAGAGGTGGCAGTCCAGTGAAAGAAAGGCAGAGGAGAGAGGTGGTATTAGAAAGGCCAGGCCCATGCAATATTCTCTTCCAGTTTCATTGTGTCATATGGGAGGTAGCTTAGTATAATGGAAAAAGTCGTGGACCCAGGGATCTGAGTTCTATTGCTGGTTCTTACTGCCAACTTGCTGTATGATCTGGGGTAAGTCTTTTAACTTCTCTGGGCCTCATTTTCTTTGTCTCTAAATGAGCATAGTACTTTCCCCGTACATCTTAAGAGATTGTTTTAAAGCTTGGTAAGTTATGTGAAACATATGGTAATGTGATTATTATTGTAGTTCTACAAATGTTGCCTTTTAGAGAACTAAACCACAAACCTGTGCTTATTATGAATTTTTCTCATTTGGAAGAATACCTTCCATTCAACCCAGCCCTTCCAGCTGGAGACAGATTAATTAATCATTGAAGTTACTTCTGTCTTACATCCATGTGCCTGAAAGGTTGACTTCATGTCTGTGAGACAGGGGAAGGAGGACACCATGGACCCAGTGCAAACAGAATGTACTCGAAAATTGTGCATATCATAGGCCCATGTTTCAGTGGAATGTGTATATGAGCTAGGTATAGCAAGTCTCAGATTTACTCTGTAAAAAAAAATAACTTGAAAAATATTACTTCAGAGATTTATATATTTTAAAGCAGTATTTAAAGGGAAAAAATGTCAGCCAGTACCTGTCTTCTCACTGACCTTTTGAGAGGTCCCCATCCTTACTCAGTGAAAATATCTCTCATACCAGTTATTCCATTCAGAAGACATTTGGAATCCCTAACTTGGAAACCCACCTGTTCAAATGTAATCACTGAGAACAGAAAAGTAGTCTGCTAGGCAGGCAGACTTTGGTGGGTTAATCTTTTGTCTTGTGTCCATTGTTAAGAAAGATCTCTATAACATGATCCTGGATTTTTTGCTTTTCACATACTGTTTTTTGTTTTTTTTTTCAAAGATTTGTTTATTTATGTATAGAAGAACTGGGTGTAGGCCAGAGGTGGGGGCGGGGAGGGGGCGCGTAGGTGAGAGGAGTCACCAGAGACAGAGTGGGGTGCATAACAGGCAGGCTGAGCAAAATACACTGCTGAGGGGAGCAGCAGGGAGACAGGAGAGGTCTGCTGTGCCATGTAGGTTAGCTGCCTGGCCAGGGATTGAACACATGCTGTAGTGGCTGTGAACAGCCTCATAGTGCTGTGACTTAACCCCTTGCACCACCAGGAAGGCCCCTCACATTATTGTTTTTAAGTAATTACTATGTACTGGTTGTTTTGGGTACTTTATTGTATAGTAATCCTCTCTCTATTCCTGGCATGATGCTTGAGTGAGCAATGAAGATGAACGTGAAATGTTGAGGTAGAAAATAGATTGCAAATTACCACTTCAAATCTGAAAGAAACAGTTCTATTTTAAAAATGCACATAACCTGCTAGATACTTGTAAAAAATCCTACACAGGTCTTAATAGTTGGCTAATTTCTAGTATTGCCATTTTTGTGTAAGTGCAGGAATGTCGACGAGTGCATGTCATGTTGCAGCCAAGAAGTGGCGCCAGCTGCTCTCCTGCTGCTCTGTGTCTAAAAACTGTTGGGAAGAGACACTTTTTCACTTATACTTTCAAAATTATCTCCCTTTTTGTCTACTTTTGCTACTGTGCTTCTGGTTTTGGGTCACAAGACAGATGCATTCTTACCTCTCTCCCTCCCTCTAATTTTTTATTTCATTTTTGTTTCACAGTATTTGGTTGAACCATATGAAATTGTCATTTTGTAAGTTCAAAAAACTCAGATACCAGCAATTTCACATGACTCCGCCTATGTAAAACTCTCCTCCCCCCTCATACTTAGTGCTCCTGCTTCAATTTAGAGCGCCCACTACTGTCTCTTGCCTGAGCCATAGCTGGTGTCCTTGCTCATGTTTCTCCTCCTCATCAGTCTTCCATACTTACATCCTTTTCATCTTCGGTCTACAATACCTATTTCAGATCCTGCTCTTTCTAACACGCGCATGCGCACATACATACAAATGCGTACGTGGACACACACACCCCTACCTTATTTCAGGCACTCCCTGTAGGCATCATGCTATTCTATACCTTATGCATGTGCACATGGATTCGACTTACAGTGTTCTCTCTCTTGCCTGACTTCCACACTTCTGCTTGGCAGCTCTTCTTTGTGAAACTTTTTTGAGTTCCTTCAGAGAAAGTTATTGCTTCAGTTTCACCGCAGGGTACCACACACATTTTCTGTTGCACCACCTGTAGCTCCAAATTGTAGTTACTTATTTATGTCTTGTTCCTTTATTAGACTTGTGCCTTGAGGTTAGGGAACCATGGCTTATTAGTTTTTTAATAAAACTAATTTCATTCCCAGCAAGAGCAGGACCTACTTGTAGAGGCTCAGTGCGTGCCAAATGACTCAAATCCATTTTACTACAGACTTGTGGTTCACTGTTTAAAAAGGGTTTTAAGGGGAGAACATTTCCTAGGGAGAAGAAGGAAAAGCAAATAGTTTCTTTATATTTTTTTCTTAATTAAGTAGCACAGTAGAATTTAGTTGTAAAACAATTGAGTTTTTTCTTGGTTTCTTTGACCATAGGATTTGAATAAGCCAAGCACATTAGCTGAGGCCCAAGCTGCTGCTTGACAAATAGATCTTGACAATAGACACCTTACCTACCTTTGGACAAAGTATCCTGTCAAGTGTCAGAGGCTTTTGAAAGGGGCTTCAGAAAAGTGGAGTGTGGTATAAGTTTAAAAGATTGAGATAATGATGGTGGAATATTGCAATGGCTCTGGAATAGCCTGTCAAGTTAAATTGCATTTGTTTTGATCTTAACCAGTTTGCTTTTTATTGACTCAAACTGGCCAACCAAAAGGTCATTTAAGGTCTTTTATCAAGTTCTGTCCACTTGGCTTTGGCCTTCTTTAGATTTGATCGGCACTGGAGCAAGAACTAAGGTAATAATTTTGAAAGAATGGTTAAGGATTCTGAGTTTCTCCCCATGTCAGTAATGACAATGATCAGCACTGCTGAACAGCTCACTGTGTGACTTCATATAAGACTCTGCAGATGAGACTCTCCCTGTAAGTAGCTACAGGTCATTTTGAGAACTAAACTAGGATCATGCTGTATGTGAACTATAGTTTGTCTTTCTAATTGACATTTCCTCCAGGGCATTACAAATTTACACATAACAGTACAAGTTTCCTTGTAGTAGTGTTTGGAAAGGTCTTTCCATTGAGGTTCATAAGAAACATGACTGCATAGAAATTCAGACCTTGCTGGAATAGTCTGAAGCCCAAACTGAGTCCTAAGATCTAGAGAGTATTTTTCCATTGGTGAGACAGCTGCATTTTTCAGTGTTTATGGGAGAATAGGAAAGATCTGAGATAGGTGATCAAGGCAGACAGGGTGGGCCACCCCCAGTGGGTCTTGCTGGAGAGAGGAAGCGTGAATTGGTATCCAGCAAAGAGGGTGCTGACCTTGGAGGCAAGGAGATTCTGGGGCAGACCAGCTGTCGAACAGTTTGCCTTAGCCAGCCTTGCACTGACATTTAAAACCCTGATTATTAGAGTTTGGATGAGTTGAGTTGAGTTGAGTTAATGTTTAATTTTGTTGGTTAAGGAGAAGCAAGTGTATTCATGAACTGTTGAGTAACAGTAAATAAGAACTCCATAAATACTCAGAGTCCTCAGCACTAGAGGCGAGATGTGGACAGCGTGCAGCGGTGTTGAGGGCTGCCATTCCCCTTGTCGTCCTCCTTCCTGTTTCTAAATTCTTCCCTTACACATGAAAGGAAGTAACAGAAATAAAGCTGTGAACGCCTTTGTCTTTTTTTCCACAGTGTTCTCTCAGAGGACCAGGACAGTTACCTTTGTAATGTCACCTTGTTTAGGAAGGCAGTTGATGACTTCAGACACAAAGCCAGAGAAAACAAGTAAGCGTATTACATTTTAGTTTATTTGTTGAATCACCTATACATAGTGTGGATAATTGTTTTTTCCTTGAAATTTAGATTCATCGTCCGTGACTTCCAGTATAATGAAGAGGAGATGAAAGCAGATAAAGAAGAAATGACCAGGCTTTCTACTGACAAGAAAAAGCAGTTTGTATGTGTTAACATTTAGTATTATCAATATTAAGTGGAAGAGAAGTGGTATTTCTTTTCTTTGATTTAAAAGAAAACAAAGTATCCCTAATTCTGCTTTTATAATATTTTGGTTTTTTTCTATTAATCAGAATGAATTTTCTCTGAGGCTAAGGTCTATGACCAGTTTCTTCAAATACATACTTTAAAATTAATTATTCCTTATAAATCCATATCAGACTTGATTTTAAATGTAGTGTTTGGGTTACTGCCCCTGAGGAGAGAGTTGTTTCAGTTTTTTTTAGTAAGAATTTTCATTTTCTTGAGGCAGGTTTTTTTTTTAAACTGCCATGTTTTAAGAAGCAATTTGTGTGTAAGCCCTTGAGAGTACATTCTGTGCAAAATGGGGAGCAGGACCAGATTATTGTGGAGGGTAAAAGCCTGTATGGAAGGGGATACATGATGCGTGAAAAATGTTTCTTTTCTCATACAGAAGGAAGTAAAGGCTAACTCCTTATTAGTTGGGAGAAACCTGACCTTAACGAGTAATATCCAATAAAGTCAGCCCAAAACCTTTTTATTTTTCCACTTCTGTATATTTTTTATTTACAGAATCTTCTAGTGTCTGGCTTCTAGTATGCATTCCATGAATAAATATATACTATAGCCATCTCTATAGATAGTGTGAGTTTTACTCTGACCACCTACGTCATCATACGCTAGAGGTGCTTCCTCTTCAAAGGATGAGGCAGGTAGGATTTCTAGTTCTGGCTTCAGGCTCACCCAGGGTGTAGCAGTTCCAACTTGTTTCTCTGACCCCACTACACTCTTGTTTTTTTTTGCACCAGATACCACTAATTTCCCATACTCTGTGCCTCCACCACAGCCTGGTCCCTGCAAGGAGGCAGGGGCTTGGCTCTGCATGGCGAAAGCTGCCTTTACTCAAGGTTTCTAAATGTGGGGTTTGCAAGTGGGAAACCACCAGACTCATGGAATGAGGGGTCACTGGGGGCCACACAGGACTCTTAGCTCTTTACAACCCCTTCTCTGTTTCTGCCTTCCACATCTTTCCAGTCTTTGCATGGAAAGGCTGCTACCAGAGATCCCAGTGCACAAAAGCACAATTCCAGAAACTCTAGAAAAGGAAGGAGTGAACGTAGCACTTCTGGCCAAGGGAGATGAGGGCTGAGATCAGAAGACCCTTTCAAAGAACAATTTTTTTT